TCGGGTGCAGATTTCGTGGCAGGCGCAGCACTTTCGCAAGGTCAACTGTTATCAAGGATTGAATTGAGTGGCAGGCGCAGCACTTTCGCAAGGTCAGGTGCAGATTTCGTGGCAGGCGCAGTACTTTCGCAAGGTCAAGTACAGATTTCGTGGCAGGCGCAGCACTTTCGCAAGGTCAAGTGCCAAATTCATGGCAGGCGCAGCACTTTCGCAAGGTCAAGTACAGATTTCGTGGCAGGCACAGCACTTTCGCCAGTTTAGGTACAGATCGATAGATAGATAGATAGATAGATAGATAGATAGTTCGATGGACTAGATAGATAAACAGAGGGAGATAGATAGATGCGTAGATAGATAGACGGTTAGATAGATAGCTAGATAGATAGAAAGAGAGATCGATAGATAAATAAATAGATAGATAGATAGAGAGAGAGAGAGAGAGCAAGATAGATAGATAAATAGACAGAGAGAGAGAGAGATAAAGAGAATATATGGAAATGATAGATAGATGAAAGATAGAGAAAACAGATATAGATAGATAGATAGATAGATAGATAGATAGATAGATAGATAGATAGATAAATAGATAGATACAAAGAGAGATAGATAGATAGTTAGTTAGTTAGATAGACAAATAGATTCAAACATATATATATATAGATAGATAGATGGATAGATAGATAGATAGGTAGATAGATAGATAGATCGATAGATAGGTAGGGAGATAGATAGATATATATATATAGATAGATAGATAGATAGATAGATAGATAGATAGATAGATAGATTGACGTATAGATAGATAGATGAAATATAGAGAAAACAGAGATAGATAGATAGATAGATAGATAGATACATAGATATATATATAGACAGATAGATAGATAGATAGATAGATAAATAGATAGATAGATAGATAGATAGATAGATAGATAGATAGATAGATAGATAGATAGATAGATATATTAGATAAGATTAGATAGATTAGATTAGATTAGATTAGATTAGATTAGATTAGATTAGATTAGATTAGATTAGATTAGATAGATAGATAGATAGATAGATAGATAGATAGATACATATATAGATAGATATATAGATAGATAGATAGATAAATAGATAGATAGATAGATAGATAGATAAATAGATAGATAGATAGACAGATCGATAGATAGATAGATAGATAGATAGATGAGAGAGAGAGATAGATAGATAGGTAGATAGATAGATAGATAGGCAGGGAGATAGATAGATAGATAGATAAACACAAAGAGAGATATGTAGATTGTTTGTTAGTTAGTTAGATAGAAAGAGAGATCGATAGACAGATAGATGGATAGATACATAGATAGATAGATAGAGAGAGAGAGAGAGAGATAGATAGATATATGGAAATATAGATAAAAGAGGTAGGCAGATATATAGATAGATAGATAGAGAGATAGACAGATAGATAGATAGATGAAAGATAGAGAAACTAGAGATCGATAGATAGATAGATAGATAGATAAATAGATAGATAGATAAATAGATAGGTACACAGACAGTCAGGTACACAGACAGATAGATAGATAGATCGATAGAGAGATAGCCACATAGATAGGATAGATAGATAGATAGATAGATAGATAGATAGATAGATAGATAGATAGATAGATAGATAGATAGATAGATCGATAGATAGATAGATAGATAGATAGATAGATAGATAGATAGATAGATGAGGTAAATAGATAGATAGATACATAGATAGATAGAGAGAGAGAGAGATAGAGGGATATAGAGAGATGGATAGATAGAGATATAGAGAGATAGGTAGTATAGATATATATATATATAGATAGAGATATGGATAGATAGATAGATAGATAGATAGATAGATAGATAGATAGATAGATAGATAGATAGATAGATAGATAGATGAATAGATATATAGATAGATAAGCATATAGATAGATAACACGAGAGATAGATAGATAGGTAGTTAGGTAGATAGATAGGTAGAGAAAGATAGATAGACAAGCAAACGAAAGAAAGAAAGAAAAGACAGATAGAAAGAAGGAAAGAAGGGAGGAAGGAAGGAAAGAAAGGAATAATGGAAGAATGACGGAGAAAAGGAGTCAAGAAAAGAAAGATAAATATAACTATAGTTTTTAAATTTTTGAAACTTCCGCCCACCGGCTTCGCCGGCTCTGCTGGTAGGTAGAAGTCTGCAGTTTGGTGGGTATTTGGCTATATAACTTCCTGTGGCATTTTTTGAAGATGGTTTCTTAGACGCCGGGGATTCATGCTCACAACCAGCATACTTGCCAGGGCGAAACGACCATCCATGCCAAGTCGTAGGTTGACACTTTTTCTAGCTCCAAGGGTCCCTTGGTGCCTCATGTTTGGCTTTATGTAAGGCTCATATCAGCATTGCTTGCTGGGAGACTCAACTCAAGCCGAGGCAGGCTCGCTTGGCAAGAAAGCACACTGAACACTGAGAGTTAGTTAGACGCTTGTGAGCCTGTGAACACGGCGCTTGGCTGCGTGCAAGCTTTGGGTCGCAGTTTGCGCGCCCTGCGGCACGAAGGCGCAGGCGATTGCAAACAAAATGGGGCCTTATGCAGTGAACGTGCGGGTAAAACCGACTTCAGCCTATGACAGCAGCTTCGTGCTGACAGTTATCCAATTTGTTGGCCCACACTTTGCCCGCAACTGGGAGGCCAAGTTGCTGCGGATTCGAGGAATCTGTACAGGGTGAGTTGCCGAAGGATCCAAACCCAAAACAAAAAAATGAGAGCTTGGTTTCTTGGGCCCTCTGGGTACGTGCTAACCAGGAGCTCCGAAAAGGAATTTTACAGCGTTGCCGGCACATTTGCCAACGACGGCCTTGGGGGTGTGGGTTTTCCCCAATGAAATGGGTTCGTTTTTCTTCGCAAGCCGAAAGGAAAGCAACCACATTGGTCCCCGAACAAAAGACACACCCAAATGCCCCCAAAAGCCATGCCCCAGCTGACCGCGTCCTCCTCGATGATGCCGATCACTTCCCGAAGAACCTCCTGCGCCAATGCCGCTCCGCGGTCTGCCCAGCCCGGAGCCTGTACAACATGTTTCACAGCTTCCGCTTCCTGAAAGCTCTGAACATGTCCTTTTAGGTGGGAAATAGATATGGGTTTCCCTGGTAGATGAGAAAAAACCACCAGGTCAACCAGGAATCGACACCCATGCTGTTGTTCCAGCAAACCAACCAAAAAGGTTTCACCTATGGCTCTGAACATCTTCTTTTTTTCTTTTCAGCCATGGTTTTTTGTTAGCCCTCCCTTAGGCTGGGCCGACTCTCGGGGAAATCCTAAAAAAGTCTAGCGGAGGCTTCCCAAAACACCTCGTGTTGTTTTGAGGCTCCTGGTACCCTTAGATAAGAACAGAAGCCTGGCGCGGAATTGGGCGGAGATCCAGTAAGTGGTACCATACGTTTGGCTGCTTGACACGAATTCGGACTCTTACTTCTTGAGTGGATGGGCCAGTCGAAATGAAAATCTCTTTGTTTCCCACTGGAATGGTCTTGCCACAAAATTGAAAGTCCAGGAACGCATGGGGAAGCCCAGAGAATTCCCAAATGCAAAACAAATCACCTCCAACTGAAAAGGATTCGGTTTCCGAATCGGTTGACTGACCGCCACTTTCCGCGCCGACCCGCGCTGCACGGCCACGCCTGGATCTCCCGGTCGGTCGGCTCTTTGGAACCCCTCAGCACCTCCAGCAGCTCGTTGAAAGGTTCCTTGGCTGAGAACGAGTGGACCGACCCCTCGCAAAAGCGATCACTTGCTGGGACAAAACTGATGAAGGAAACTGAGAATGATTGCTCTGCCCTTCACAGAGGCCCCTTTGGGCCCTTTTCGACCCCTAGAAAAGAACGCCGCGACCACCGTGAGACACATTGGAAAGCGCGCATGTGTGAAGTGATTATGAACTGACACGGCGTGCGCATGGGAATGTTCACAGCGCAAAGGTACCAGTATGCACAAACAAGCAGGCAGGCAACCATATATATATATATACAAAATACATATAATCTATATATATATATAATTATGTGTATATATATATATATGCTTTGGCCATGTGGGTATGAACACACACATGCACAAATCTGTTGTGGTATCCGGCAGTGTGACACATGAGATCCAAGTAAACGAGACATTCGGCCCAAAGCAGCCGGCCGAAATGGCCGACCTGCGGCCAAGGGGGCCTTTTGCCGAGCAAAAAGGCAGCGCTGGTTGGACCAAGGCTAAAAATCGAGGTCGAACTCGTGACAGCAGCCTGAACATAGGTGTCCTTTTAGGGCAATAGATGGGTTTCCCTGGTAGATGATTAAACCGCCAGGTAAACCAGGAATCGAAACTCATGCTATTTTTCGACCAACACAACCAAAAAGGACACCTATGAGCCTGAAATGAGGGCGCACTTTTTGACAAGAAGTGTCACTTGGTGAGACTTGGGCAAACATGCAGCTACCCAAGCTTGGCAGTGTGCTTGTCCTCCTAGCGAAGCTGTTGCGCTGACCCGTCATTCTCTTCGCCTTTGTGGGGTTCCCAGACAAATCCACATTCAACCAGGTAACCCCCAGGAAGATCACCCCCTTTTCCAGCGTCTTAGGCTTGCCCTTCCGAAGGACTTATCAAGCAGGGGCATCAAACCTATGGTCAAAATTAATTGCCCAGGTGCTCCAGTAGATAAGGGTACCCTTTTTTTCTGTAGTCTATTTTACCCTCCCAACCAAGAAAGGGGTGAGAAAGGGCACCTAGCTGGGGGACCTAGTTGCGTGAGTCGGGGGAACTGTTGGCCATCTTGGGGTGTGGCCGAGGCGTCTGACGCAGCCAAGTCAACAGCCTGCGTTGACGCTTCGTTTTCTCTTCGCAGCTCGCAGAGGCACCATTTGGGCGCGCAGATGCAATTCCAGTGGAGTAGCACATCAGAAGACCCGAGCCAAATTCGGGGAATCTATTCAAGACATTGAACTATTCGGCAGGCGCATCACACCGCCGCCTCTTGCGCTGTCTGTCACGGTCCGGAAGCTCGTGCAACATTTGTACCAAATCATCAAGTAAACCTGTAAAAAACAGGAAGCGATCTTGATCCTTCTTGACCTTCGCCTCGACCGTGATCCGCACTGCCAAGCTCCACAGGATGTGGGCCCGGGCAGCTAAACTGCTGCTTGTGTCGCTTGGCATATGCCGAAACACTTTTGTTTCGACCTGCTGCAAGACGTCAAGAACATCTCGGCCGTGTGTGGCAACAACGACCGCTTTGTTGAGGCACCTGAAGTATTCACCTCTTCCAGGGAGGCCCACACCGGTCATGGCGACTGTAGCAATGGAGCTGTCAAACCGTATCATCTGCCTCAAACACGTCTCAAAGACCTCTCTAAAGCCAGCGACTTGAAAGCGGTCTGCCAAGACCACCATGCCCAAAACGGTTTGCAGGTCAGTTTCACTGTCCGAGCCGGGCTTGGGCTTGGCAAGGTCAGCTGGTAACTCACCCGTGTACAGCAAATACAGGAAAGGCTTGAAACACTGCTCGTCCACGTCTGCAAGGGTCAGTTTGGCGCTCTGGGTTTCACGCATATCGTGGTTCAGCATTGCGTCCCATACCGGAGATCGACCCGCCACAACGCTTTGGTGAGCTGTCAATATTGAGCCAGCCTCGCCCACGACAATCTCCAAGTCAGTACGATGGCCTCTTTGTGCCTGGTCCCACAAAATATGCCCCAAGGACGACATGGCAAGCGATCGAACGGACTTCCTACCCCGCCAAATGGTACCCATCTGTTGGGGGTCTCTGCTTAATAAGAATTATATTCTAGTCCGTATGTTGCGAATCTGACATTTTGAAATATTCACTTCCTCGGAAAACTCAGATGAGCTTTTCATACGTTTTCAAAGTTCGAACACTCGGGGAGTGCAGAAGGCAAGAATATCAGTTAAAAGGCACCTTGAAGCACTTGCGGGCCACGTTGGCCTTTCTAGGGCAAAGATCGGCCCAAGGTGCTGAGTAAGGTACGACGATGGCTTGTCTGAAAGATATGGAACCGGGTATCAGAATGGCTCCCGAATCCAGCGTTTTGATCAAAGTATGATTGCCTGAAACTGCCCCGTGTTGACTGCTTATGCCCACATGACCCAGGTGCAAAGCAGGGGCTTGTTAAATCCTAGGAGGGGGGCAAAACAAGCATCATCAAGCAGCCAACGTAACCCAAAAGAAAGGCTACTTAGATTGTTCGTGCAAAATCCAGGCCATGCTTGAAGGGTCCAACTGTTCCCCTGTGTTGGCTAGTACGGGGATATGGCAAGGATGTGGAAAAACACTGAGATCAAGCTGAAGCCAATGCAACAAGGACAGAGCCTTGCAACCCAAGGAAGAACGCCCCGTAAACTGGCCTTCAGCCGAAGTTGGCTCTCGTTGAGCCCCCAATCCAAGAATCAGCTTCCCCTAGTTGGTGGTTTGGACTGGTGGTTTGGTGGTTGAAGGCTGGCTTGTTTCCCAGTTGCCTTCTACACGAACCAAATGGGTTGTCCAAATCCAAACAACACCAATTCGGGGAAACCTGAAGGTACCAACTGGCCACAAAAAGTACGCCCCTATCGGGGATCCTGACATTATACACCTGAACATTGCAACTTGCAAATGGTGGTTTCCAACTTTCTTTTGGTGTTGAAAGACTTACCCCTTAAAACTGCAAGCCCTGGGGAAGTTCTCATCTTTTACAGACATATAGCCCATGTTACCCCCAAAAAGTTGAGACAAGTTGTGTTTTTTAAGGGGTAAGAAAAGCCACATGTTTCAAATGGTTGCGACATGGATATTTCTTCTCAGGATCCCTGCCCAGAAGTCTCTTCGTTCACCAGGTTGCCAGAAGCTCCTGGCCCTCGATCGTCTGATCGCCTGAGGAGGTTGGAAGCTGAAGCCAATCGACTGGGCCACTGCCCGAGTCAGACTCCTGTGAAAGAACCGACATATGTGGCTTGACATGAAAATTTGAGCATTCTTTGAAAGCCTGGGTTTTGCGGCTTGACAATTAGGGGACCAAAGCCTTTGGTGGACATCATTTCGGGATTCATGTCCACCAACCGATTTGCAGTTTCCTACTATTGATGCTTTCGGCATGCAGGCACCTCTGGCAAGCAGTCCGGGCAACAAGGGAACCAGCACCTTCTGAGGATGTACCGAACGACCCCTTTTCACCCCCCCCAAGACCCATCCCACAAAAAAAGAAGGGGTGCTCCCTGGGATGTAGTTTTAGAAAGCAAAGCTCAGAAAACACTGCGAATACCATGGTTTCATGTTAAACTCACATCCCCACCAACACCCAGTCTCAAAACAAAACTCTATGTTGAACAATTGTGTTTGGTGGGCGGGGGGCAAAGCGGACGCTTAACTTGGCTGTTCCCAGATCCCCTGCGGCTTAATGCCCGATGGGTGTCCCCACAATTGTCGGGCGGTTATTCTTGAACCTTGTGCCAAGCGCATGCGTACGTTGCTTGCTTCGAGGCGAAGCTACTTTACATGCTACCGGTCAAAACCAAGCCGAAGCACTGTATGCTTCCATCAGCAACTCGATGGTGGTCAAAAGCTCGTCGTCCACTTCCTAGCGAAGCTTCGCTCTGGTCAGTAGCCCCCAAAACCCATTGAGGTCTGGCTCGTCCAAGTCGGTTACAACATGGGTGCGTCCTTTTCTGGGGGGCTCTCAAAAATGGTTTCTTATGGTTCCCCTTTAAAACAACACCAAAACAGGGCCCTCAAAAAGCAATCCCCATTTGTTTCTTAGCAGGCCTTCCTCAGGACTCATCCAATCACCCTGGCACAAAACGGAAACTGTGCTTCCTTGATTTGCATTGGAGTTCTTCAGCCAAAATGAACTCATCCGCCAGAAACTTTTTACGCAGTTGTGCAGGAGCACTGCCAAAAGCAGCAGCCACGAGCAGTGGGGAGCATCCATTCAAGCAACCAGCGGTGAGTCATTGTAAGGTGCTCAAGCCAACAAATGAGTCACAATCAAAACCTGGTGCAAAAATGGTGAACCCATTTCTGGCTGGGACTGCTTACTAACCGGATCATCTACCCGGGTTTTGAGCAAGTGGCTCAAATGTCCCGTTGCCAGCTAGATCATATCCCCTTTGAAGTTCAGCAAGGAGTATGAGAGCATTTTTCGATAGTCGTCCAAAGCTGGCTCACTTGCCCAGTTTGGACCCGTAAATACAAGGTGAACCCTTTGGGGCCATGACTAAACAATGGACCAACATTGGAAAGCCAAAAGGTCAATTTGCTTTGGCCAATTCAGATGGTTGTTTCGAACTTGACCAGTCTGGCAGAGCACACATCCGTTGCTTGGCTGCGTGCCAGATGCAAAAACCGACTCATTTTGACCGAGGATAACATATTTCAGTCAAACCGAACCTCAGCTTTTACCCCGGTCCACTTAAAAGTGACCTCTAACGTTAACATGTACAAACAACTCGAAAGGGATCCCAGAAGCCCGGGCCTTGCGTGGTGCATCCGCCTCGGGAGAGACTCAGACACACAGCTCCAAATGGTATCCAATGACTTGTTCATAAGGGCGGAACGGAACTGGTTGGAGAGGGGTCACTGGACTTCCCACAAAAGTCCAAGCACCCGATGGCTTTTGGCTGTTGCGGGGTTAAAAGGTGTCGTTCAGTGCATCCTTAGGTAGCAAGGAGACCCTCTAGGCCCTTGATCGAAAAAACCGGCGATTTTCATCTGCCACGAAAGGGTTCCAAAGAAGAAAAGTTCGCCCCCTCAGACCCTCCAAAGACCTTAGTGATAGATATGGCCATGGGTCAAAATCGTACACCCAGTGAACATCCGAACATCCCAATCCAACCACTAAAATAGGTTAGTGGTGAATTCACCTACCCCAAAATGGTACCATTGGTTTTGCCCACAGCCATTTAAAGTTGGCCATTGGGATTGGTGGTTTGGTTTAGAGTTGTTCCCATTTACCCCACAAGAACCACGGGTTCAAATCCGACTCGAAACAACCAACCTCCAAAACATCTGACAGGATTTTTTCTCCCAACTTTCTACCCTCGTGGTCGCTTTTTGTTTGGTTCGCAGCAAGCCCGTGGAAGTCAAAAAAACCAACCAACCTCTGTACCCGTCGTTGAGATTCCTTTCATGCAGCAGGCCACCCAACCAACGTCAAAGGGACAAGTATCCATCAGTCATGGCATAAAAGTATGTAACTGGTGAGAAAACAGCAACGCAGCATCGATAGCAACTCTCTCACAATCAACATGCGGCCCCAAAACACACTCTACGGGTGCTGAGGGTTCCATGCCAATCTTGGCACCGAGCCTTCACCGAAGAACCCTGAACCAGCAAAGCGGGCGGCACTTTCGTGCCGTCGCTTTCGATTGCGTGGATCGGCCCAGCCAAGTCCTTGTTTCCTAGGGGTTGATTCCCCATTATTTTCAACCATCGTTCTTTCCAAAAACCGGAAGTTTCCCCTAGGTTTTGATGGTTTCCTGAAAAGAAGGATCCCTGGAAAGAATGGGGAAGGTACCCCTAGATGTTTGCTGCCTTCCGATCCCTTGCGAGCAGCATAAGGTTGCTTCTCGCAGGCACCCAATAAACAGCTCTTAAGACAGATGCCAAGAAAAAGAAGCTAAAACTGCAACAACACAACAAATGCACACCAAGAAATAGAACCAACAAAAAACAGAAGCCGAAAAAAAACAGAAAACAAACAAAGCCATACCGGAAACAAACCAGAAGCCGACCAGAAGACGACGTCCAAAGATGTGTTTCAACCTGAACGGGCGCCGGGAATTTTCTCGCTGCCTCCGGCTCCGCCGTCTCGCCGGGCTCGGCTTTGCCGCCTCCGACGCGCGAACGCGCCGCGCGTCGCGCGCGTCCCGCCCGAAGAAGTGCGATGTTTTTGGCTCGAGGCGGGCCTTGGGAACGAAAACGCCCAGTTGTGTGTCCAGGTCCAGTTAAGGCGCCTGTTTGGAAACCGAAGCGCCATCCAGGTCACTTCAGATCTGGACCCCAAACCTCTCCAAACCCTTTCGAAGGTTGCATGAAAGGCTGAGGCAGAAAGGGGACCATTGGTTCAGATCTCCTGCCTCTGTGGCTATGTGAAAAGGGGGATTGGCAATCAAAACTTGGTTGCTGTTGAACCCTCCAACGGAGAATCCGACCTGTATGAGCATAAAGTTCAAGTCCAAAGATCGGTCACCAAATAGCCACAAAGAGTCATACAGACAAGGGCCTACAACTGAAAGAAGTGGTCCAACAAGTATAAAGGCCGTTCCCCATCAAGAGGCCCCTCTGATATATAAATCGTAGATGATTATTCCACGTTGTGATTTACATTTCTTAGGCTTCGCTTGGAAAGCAAGGAGACACGCATTTCACGGTGCCTTGGTACCCGCAACGGGGAGTTGAACAGATCTATCTCCTCAGGTAGGGACCCAAGATGGGCGTCGTCTTTTCGAGGTCCTTGTGGACTTCCTTTAAACCCAACCAAACGGGGCCTACCGAGACCGTCAAACTACCCAAAATTTAAAGGGACCTCACCCCATCATTTTGCAGAAAATATGGGTAGTTTGAGGGTTCAGGATCAAACAAAACACACCCCCACACGGCTCAAAACTGGTTGACAACTGGGACCGCGAGTCTAATGTCAGTTGCTTGCCTTGTGGTGCATAGACATATAGTGCGCATGGAGTAGCATGTGTGCGAAACTACAGCTGCGGTCAACTTTGGGGGCTGGGGCCGGGGACTCGCTAAATGTCCCACAAAGACCAGTATTTTTCACGAACCGCATATTGTCATGGGTTTCCATTGAGCTAGGACCCTGACGGCTGCCGTGTTCGTTCCACGCGTGCTATTGGAGATGAATCTCATAGAGCAGCAGCAACTGCTTCCAATGTGAGAGCAACACGAAACGTTGTCTTGTTTTCGCCTTGGCAGAAGTGAGATTTGGTCCCGCAGATCACTCCCCGACTGGGAGCCTGCATCCACAGCTTGGCTGGGAGACGTGGGGTAGCCACCTGAGAGCAAGTCGTCAATCGATCGCATTTGGGAGACGACGCAGTGGACAAATGCAGCGTGTCTCATGAACTCCGGTCCGCGCAAGCGGGCAGGATCGCCTCTTGAAAGGGGGTTTGGCCCTATCGATCTGGGGTTTCTTTCCAGGCCTTCCATGGGTTCCCACCGGGTTTCCCATAACCTTCCAAAGTTTCCCAACGCCCCGCTTCTGTCGCGGGTTTCTGCCATATTTCTTGAGCCGGAAAGGTCGCGCCCCCGTCAAACAGCTTCAAACACAGGGCCATGTTACTGGGTTGCAAAAGGGCAACCCTCAATGGGCGCATGTGAGAATTCCCCATGTACCATTGACAGTTGCAAACGGGAACACCGTTCATCATGACGAAACCGAAAGGACACTCAAAACCATTTTGGGGGGTCATCATTTGGAACAAAGCCGAATACCCCAAAATTGAGAAGGCATTACTTTCTACCAATCGCAAGCGAGGCTGGCCTAAAGCAACAAAAAGAGTCCAGGGCTCTGGTGGTTTCGAAGGGAAAAACTAGTCCAAAGATTTTTGGTGGTTTCGAAGGGAAACCAAAATGGAACCGAAGCGAAACCTTTCGCGGGTTTCGGACGCGGCTTCCAGCCACTTGGCTTCATCCAGTCTCGACGGGTCTCAGATCCGCGCCTTGGAGGTCGGCCTGGCGGAAAGGCGAGGTTATTTCTTTGTTCGTACGCGGTAAATTGGGGGAAGTGGGCACCTGGACTCAAAATACAGAATGCCAACTGAAAATTGGGGTTAGTGCAAAATACCAAATACCAACTGAACATTAGGGGTTAGTGCAACCCAAAAGTGATGCTTGGTGACTCCACATGTTCATAAGTAGGGTTCTTGCAAACCCAAATGATGGTGACTCCCCATTGTTGTTTTGGGTAGTTTGAGGGGGTCCAGGAGAAAACCATTCCCCGCAAGTAGACACCCGCTGAAGGACTTAGCAATCGGGATTCTCCACTTGCAAACTTGTCTGGTGCTCCAAGTATGGGGTTTGTGATGCGGGTAGTGGGCCCGCCCCAGCCTGTCGTCCCATCCGAGGTCCCCAAGTGAGTCATAAGCAAAATCCTGGTATTCAAATGGTCTACCCAAGACTTGGTGGGTGCAACAACCCCTCGGCAAAACGTCTTCCATTTGGCGGGTTTAATGGAAAACCCCTGGATGCCAACCCAAAAGTTAAAGTCTAAACTCTACAACTCCAACCCAATGGCAATCAAGAAGACCATGTAAAGAATAAAAAGGGCGGACATCCGCACCCGTTTTTGCTTGGGATTGTCACTTTCATCTACCGGGATTGGATGGCTCAAGCGCCTTTTCGATAGACATGGCCCAAAGGAGGTAAAGGTCACTTAGCCATATGCGTAGCAGTGATTCGACCAAAGTCCGGAACTGACTTAAGTGGCCCAGTCGTGATCCCCAAGACCCCACCAAACAGGAGTGACATGACCTGGAATTAGGCCAGGGGTGGTCCCCTAGCCAACCCCAACAAACAGGAGTTGCTACTACCCATTTCAGAGCTAACCCCCAGTTGCCATCTAAAGCTTGACTACCCATTTCAGAGCCATCTAACCCCGAAGGATCCACCAACGGCATCCTGGTTTTGGGTTGATTCGCTCGGGAATTCGTCAAATACAGATTCCTCAATCCGCACATAGGTACCAAGGGACCCGGTTAAGCACCTGTTTGTGGTAGGTCATCCAGTGGCTTGGGTGCCGACTGGCCAATTTCTGACTATGGTGACTGGATCCATCCAACTGATAATTTATAACAAATAAGTAAGGATTCTCCCATAGAACAATCTTCCAAAGTCGTTCCCCCGTGTGAGGCCCCTACACGTGAAAAACGCACAATCTGGACTGTGACTTTGATCCCAGGCAAAATGCGCACCACAATTGGCCAAGTTTGAACAAGGACATCTTGCAAAAAGTGCAGAATCAAAACTAACAGTCAAGCCAGAGACAACATGTTATGAAGTGCAGCTGTCTCAAATGCCCACTGGCCATGGCAGAAAAAAAACGGGCATCCTTTTTTGGTTGTTTAAAGGGGAACCCTTGCCCCAAACAAGCTGGAAAACAGGGGCGGAATCCACTGGGCAAAATTGAGTTGTTCTTGGGTCCAAAGTCCATTAAACTATTAGTTGCCCCTTTTCGGTTGGAAATTCCTTTGACCACGCGCCAGTCGCCTGGAAGACCCACCCCGCATTGAACCCCACGACAAATTGCCAAGAGTTCGCCACAAGAAAAACCATGCATGGCTAATCTCTTTGCTGAGGCTCGCTACCCCCCCCCTATTGGGCTCAAGGGCAAGTAAAAGGAAAACCGGGCGCCATGTTTGCCCCCCCCCCCCCCAAAAAAAAAGAAAGAAAGAACAGAAAGACAACACCACCCACATGAGGACCTAAAGCCCGGGATGTTCAGAGGACTTGCCATTCAGGGAGGTTGGGTGACTTTCAAGGTTCTCCATCCAGGCAAAACAGAAATAACGCGAGGCAACAAATGCCAGGTGCAAACCAACCTCTCGGGGTAACTTCCAACCATTCTTTCCAGGGATCCTTCTTTCTAGAAAACCACCAAAACCCCTGGGGAAGTGGCTGGTGTTTGAAAAGAACGATGGCTGAAAAGAATGGAATTGGAATCAACCAGTAGAAAACCACACAATGAAACAGTTTCGGAAGTTATAGCTGCAGGAAAATCTATCGCGAACTCCCGAAAACCATTGGTGAACCCAACCATGCCCAAGCACCCAATCAACGCGTGACACCAGCAAGAACCCAAGGGAAATCTCCCCTCCGGTGACAAGCCCCAAGAAGATATTTGGGTGGGGATGTGAAGGAGGGGGGTGCCTATGCCTGAGAAGCCATCCAGGGATAGCGCCTTCCCTAGTCCTTGATTCCACGTTTGCCAGGGAACATATTGGGGGCGTTGCTTTTTGTTCACGTGTGCTTTTGGGGGGGGCTAAAAAGGGCCATAGGGAAACCACCCATGTCAAAGATAGCCCTGTAGTGTCGCTAGGTCTTCCGGAAGACAGGTTAGAATAAGGGTACCCTTTTTTCTGTAGTTTATTTTAGTAGGAACCTTCCCCCAAAAAAGGGTAAAAGGGCCCCACTGGGGCAGCTAGGTTTGCCAATCAAATCTGCGCAAGGGACCCTGGGACACTGGGGTCCCCCCTGCTATGTCAGCAAAAGACATAATTCGTTGCAACCCTCCCGCAAAATCAGTTGGACCCCACCTCAGTTGCCCAGTTTGGACCCGGGGAGGAAAAAAAGAACTAACGGGTGAGCAGCTTGTAGGATCCAAATATAAAATGGGCCAACTAAGGTCAGGTCAGTTCGCTGTGGGGTCTGGTGAGCTACCAGGTCCTCCAGTAGAATTTGGTTAGAATAAGGTTACCGTTTCTTTTTTCTGTAGTCTATTTTCGACACGGGGAACCGTCCCAACCCAAAAAAAGGGGTGAGAGTTAGGGCAGCCAGGTGCGGACCTAGGCTACACACCGGAGCCCCAGCTGCCTCCGTGTTCTCCTCTCTGGGCTCATCGCCGTCGCCGTCGGTGTCTTCGGGCCGGCCCTTTAGCCTGGCGGTGAATCACCCACCCCGGCCTCCTGGGGGAAGTCCTGTGCAACGCTTTCTTCATAGCACCTGTGTCAGTATCAAAACCCTTTGTATTAAAATGGTCGACCCGGAACCATGCTTCAAGAATTAAGGCGGATATCCGCAGCAATTTATGGCAAGGGGGTTGTCCCTTACTAACCTTCACTTGCCCGGGCTTTGATTGTGACTCACCTGTGTTTTTGGTGGTTTTCAAGGGAAACTAACAGCAAATCGCATATTTTAAGGGCTGTTTCATATTAAGCCTGCCCTACAATCACCGTGTTTGTTGGAGGAGACCCCAGCTTGGGAAGACTGGTGTGGTTTAGCGGGTTTGAGGGGCCTGCTTTGCGGGTTACACCAGTGTGCTGAAAATTCACCGCTGCAATTCAGTGGGAAAGGAAACAACTTTCCAGGTAACTACAGACACACGGGTCAAAACAAAATCGACGCTAAAAAAAAGGCCAGGGTTCAACTCCCCAAACCACTCATCCAAACCACCAATTGAGGGTTACCACCGTCCAACTCACCGTCATCCCAAAAGTCGGTGACCACTCGTGACCAACCCGTGACTTAGGGTGGGTGCCACAAATCCATGTGTGTGTGTGTGTGTCAAAAACAGGCGGCAGAAACCATGTGGGGTTCCCTGTAGCTTCACTTTAACCAGGCCCCACCCCCTTCAAAGCGGCACATGATATATGGGTGTGGCTCAAAAAATGTCACTGCGGCAAACCGCAGGTGTTGGTGTTTGGTTCAATTTGACCAAGGCGCCATTTTGGTACATGTTTTTGACCCACAGCCAAAGTAAGCCCAGGTCTTCCCAGCCCTGGAACCCCCTGAAACCGCATCTCTGAACCCCCCCCCAAGCCGCTGAAGAGGACGAGAGCTCCATATGTCCCCAGAAAAACGATTCACCTCGCCGAGAAGAAACGCTCGATTTAACCCAAGCTATGAAGCAAGGACACACCTCCTTAAGGAACCCGAACCCGAGGAGGGGGAGGTTTTGGGGGGGGCGCCCTAGGCGCGCAGCCGCCCCCCATAACCACTGAACCTGAACCAGAACCAACGTATGCATGGGCAAGGGTTGGGGTTGGGGGGGGGGGGGGCTGCCCCCCCCGACGGAACAAGAGTGCCAGAACGACTCCCAGCGACTCTGAGCGAGGCACATGCGCACCATCTTCTCCTCCACCTTGGCCAGCTCAGCGGCGGCCCTTTGTCTCCTCTCCTCCTACGAGCGGCTAAGGGCGAATGCGAATCCACGGCCAAGAAAAAGGAAGCTGGTCTTGGAGTGAACGTTTTTGGCGGCTTGTTTTGGGGTTCACGTTTCTGGTTGTTGAACCCACTAAAGGAAAAGGGAAGAATGGTGTCACTGCACTGTGAAAAGGTTTTGATCCCAAAATGGGCATGGGATGGTTGGAACTTCTTAACGCTGACATTTGAGAGAACATTGGATGGCCTTTCTTTTCTTCCCCCAACAAAGGGTCCCTTGGTACTCCATATTGTTGTGGTGTTGGGTTTGGTTCGTTCGGAAGGTCGTTGAATCGTTAAATATAGATTCCTCAAATCCGCAAATATGAGGTGCTTGGACTTTCTGCGCCCAACACTCCATGGACCAGAACATATTCCGTCGTCGGCGACCAGTTTGACGGAACAAGTTGGACAAGAGGGTCCGGGACTTAGCTAAGGGGTTAGCCGGAGTTGACCGACGTAACACCCACTAATCCTTTTCAGTGTATATCACCCCCCCATCCACCTTAGCTTTTGTCAAGCTAACTTTGATACTTCGTGAGGTCTGGGCGAATCTTTGCGGCGCCTACAGGGTGCATGAAAGTGACATCCACGTCGTCTTCTGAATGGAAAGGTCTAAAGAAAAAGACCCCAACTCCATTTTTTGGAGAACCCTCAAAATGCAACAACTTTCAGTAGTTTCCAACCTTTCACTGGGCTGTCCTCAGATCCCCGCTAAAAGTTAAACTTTTAGCGGGCGAAATGGACATCCCCACTGAACACTAAAAAGCTAACAAGCTAAGGGGATGGCTGAGAACCACCAAGTTTCATTTTAGGGACCCAACCGTAATTTGAGAATCACCCCAACCCTGAGGGTCCGATAATCGGTACCGATCCATATTTCCGGAGTTCAGGAATCTGTCGACGAAGTCCCGAGCGAACCACACCCAAAGGTCAGACTCGATAAGCCGCGCTCCTGCGGGCTCAAGAATTACTATCATGCTCCTGGAACCTTGACTTGGAGTTAAAGTCATCCCACAACCCCATCCCCACACCTCCTGGGCGAATAAGACGATTTCTGGTTGCCCTCCCCCCCCGCCCTCGCCACGCGCTTGTCGGCAAAATCAAACACAAAAACGCCTCCTCGGCAGCTGCCCGGCGCAACTCCGCCGCCTTGCGCGCCTCACGGATGCAAGAGAAAAAGCCCACGGGGTACTGAAAGGGGCGGTCGGCTACCTAGTGAGTGATTAGTAAGCCTGGTTATGATCCACTCCCAGAGGGTCCGAGTACCTCACGAGGATGGCTTTTGGGGGGTAAAAAGGGGTCCTTCGGTACCTCCTTAGAAGGTACCAAGGGATTAAGGGAATGTCTGGGACTTAGGAGACTAACCATGGTAAGTACCTTCAAGCATGGACTGAGGTGCTACGGAGGATGCCCCCTGCCATGCAGGAGAACAAGCGAACTGCCCTAATTTACCCTGCCCAAAACGTGGAACCTGACGCTCGGGGGTCCCTTTCAAAGGAAAACAATTGTTCCAGGGGCCTGCCCACAGTTGCCATGTCGAAGTCAGTTCCTATGGTTTTGCGGGTATTTTGGGCATCCTCCGTACCCCCAACAACCCTCAAACCCTTCCGTCATCCAGTATAACCACTCCGGAGCCTATTTGGTCAGAGGAAGAACATAGGGCTTGCCAGGCTCCAATGGCTGTCAAACGGCCCCCGTTTGATAGCCGCAGAAGGTCAGGAAGATCAACACAACTTCCCATCTCCTCTTTCTCCTACAAAATACCAACACATCAACACATATCTAAATATATGGCTTGTTTAGCGCCCAGAAATGTGAACTAAGAATCATCCGGGGTGAGTTTCTTCTGAATCCGATCCTCCGAAACCGTTGAAAGCAACAAAATTTCGGCCCCAGACCCCCTTCTTCGGGTTCTGCTTGAAGGACAAAAAACTTTGAGACACCAACAACTTGGGTGGGAGAACTCCCAGGGTCACTGGGTGTGTTTTTTTCCTGCTCCCCTGCAGAAGAAGTGACTCACTTTGAGTGGTTCAATACGGAAAACCCATTTGACCCAGGGTTCAAAGGCACCACAAGCCTCAAAGTTTTGTACGGATGAAATGGCCAGCACCCCCCCCAACTTGCCTCCGCTTTTTCCCATAGATCCAAAGTGCGGGAACAAACAAAACAAAAGCGGGGCCCCGGGGCGCTGGGAATGTCGATTGCTGTTGACAATTCATGATCAAACAAGCAGCCTTATAGGCGCAAGGCTGATGTTCATTGGCAAAACAAGTTGTCCAGTCCTAACATCCCTTGGCAAAATGCACCGAAGGGAAGATCAATTTCCGAAGGGAAGATCAATTTCCTTTTTTTCTTTTTGTCCACGGTCGCTGTCCTTAGTTCATGCCATAAGTAGGTCACTCCTTCTCCATTCAGGCGACTCTTTACATGCCTCTTTGCACATCTTTAAGCTCCTCCACGCTTTGGCTGATTTTGTTTCAACCCAGCTTCGCGCCCGAAGCCCTGATACAAATGGGTCATGACGAACCGAAACATTTAACCATGTCCGGAAAACGGAAAAGTTGTGATGACATTGGCATGGTTCATCCGTCGGGGAAATACATGGATCTCAAAAAAATGATCCCCACCCATGTTTTGTTGCGGGGGGGCCTTCCATTGATGGCCCTAAACAATCCCACACAAAGCTGGTTCCTCACCAAACCGGAAAAAAAGAGGTATAGTATGGATCCTTATATGCCACCAACGCAACTTGTATGGCAGTATACACCCCAAATACAAGCAGTCTGAAAAGGCCCTTCCACGCACATACCTCTGAAAAGGACGAACTCCTGCACCAAAGGAACCAGCTGGTGGTGAAGCTGGGAGGATGATTCCCCTGTAGATACCAAGGGGGGCATCGTTTCAACCACACTCCATGTGGGTTTGTTTGTTTTTGTTCGTGGCCCGGACCCTCAATATTCCTTGAAAAATAGGTGATTGCCCCCAAATTATGGGGTGAGTACCAACAAACAATGGTTTCAAGCATGGTTTCAAGTTAATGCGAAATGGATTTCGTCCACCCACAGTAGGTCCCTGCAAGCACATCGAAGCAAGCGCACTTCCATACACTTCCTTACTTTGGTTGGTTTAATACGGAAAACCCATTGGTTGGCAAAAAGCTACAGCCCTAACATCCAAGCAAACTGCACCAAAGTCTTCTCTGACCGCGCACCTCTTCTTCCTCGGGCGCCACTTCCGGCTCCTTTTCTTCACCTGAGAACATCCGCAGCTCGCGCGTGGTCTCGAAAAGGCAAGCCACCATAGGGGTCCTTTTAGACGAAATAGATGGGTTTCCCTGGTAAATGATTAAACCACCAGGTAAACCAGGAATCGCCATCTATTGTTGTCAACCAAAACACCCAAAAAGGACAATGCAAACCACCCACCCCAGAATCTAAGATACTTCCCCCAGTGCATTGCGCTTCGCCCACAGCAGGTAACCAGGCATTTTCCACACACACACACACACGCTGCAATGGGGAGGTGGGACGAGAAATTCAAAATTAAGCAATGCTTCGTTCAGAACTGCACGAGTCCCACTTACTGTTTGTCAGGTAGCTCATGTCAGAGAACTAGTTGGACCCTGCGTGTATCATTTCTGAAACGACTCCGCCAAAAAAACAGCAAGTGCCTTCACGAAAAACAAAGAACTGAAATCATTCACCAACCACTCTCTCGGAGCTACGTAATCCACCGCTCAAATTCTCTAGAACCAGGGAACCACCTGAAATATCGGGAACCAGGAAGACCAAAGATATGCGGGAAATGAGCAGGATACGCGATGAAATCCAATGATATGGAGCAAACTATTCAGAGATCAAGCAAGATTAAAACGGAGTAACTGTCGCAAACATAAACTGGATTAAGATGGATGCAGCGGATCCATGAGGTATACTAGTTCGAAGGAAGGGGACCCTACACCCAGCCCCCGACGACCCCAACAAGGCCCAACAGTTTCCAAGGTCGGGTCGGAGCTGGTGGGGGTTCTGCGGCGCATACCAACCCATCCCTTTTGGTTTCCCTTTCAGAGTAAAATTAAGCAAATCAGAAAATGCTGGGCTGCCCTCAGATCACTAACTGGCTAAAAAGCGAAGGAACCGGATGGCTGGGAGCCACCAAGAATATCTGGGCATCTTTCTTTGGGTCCCTTTGTGATGGCTTTAACTGGGGCGCCAAAAGGAAGATCGAGGCCATGGTGATTGATCGCGCCCAGGTCACAGATGCTATCCGAGGTTGCGGCTTTCCACAACCTGCACCTTCTCCTCCTTCACGTCCACCTCGTTCTGGCACACCGGACCTCACATCGATCGAAAGCACCCAGAAAGCCGGCAAAAAGAGGTTCCTTTTGCAGTATCCATTCATATTACATATATAATGTATTTATTGGCAAGTTCGTTTGACATGAACACACGAAAGAAGGGCCTTTGTGGAGCCAAAACCGAAAAGAAGGACCCACAGAAGTGACCTTCATGGGTGACTTTAGTTGGTAGTTTCTGACATCCAAAGGGACTAGGCTTTTTCAGTAGAGAGGGTAGAATAAGGGTACCAACTTTTTACTGTAGTCTATTTCAGGGAACCCTCCCCCAAAAAGGGTGAGAAAGGGCACTACTGGGGGACCTAGGGAGAAAGCCTGTGGGATTCGCGCTTCTGTTTGCTGGGAATCTCACGGAGTTTTTGCCATCCCTGCGCAAAGGGTGCCGTGGTAGCTCATATGGCCGTGGATCAAAAACCCAATCCCCACTAAAATAGACTAAAATGGGTGGTGCGCCTGCCCCAAAAAAGTACCATTGGTGTTGACCCACAGCCATATGTGGGGACTTGTTCGGAATCTATAGTTGACGAACTCCCGAAGGAACCAAGCGCAATACCACAAAAGTATGGAGACATCTTGGGAACCTTCTGTTGACATCCATGAAGCCATAGAAAAAGGGGGTGAACATTGTTCCCTGGATGATGGGATCTTCAGCCTCTCGGGCCTTTCTGGGTCATGCTTTTAATAGTTGTTTAAGGAAGCTAAAAAGGATGAATCCACATGGCCCTTACTTTTCTCAGGTTTCCAGTGAAGCTAAAACGGACGGCCTATTATTTTTGTCCACCCCCCTCACCAACTTGCAGTGCGTGACAACTAAGGCACCTCAACCCGGCATGACTGAACACCGAGCTTGTGGCGGGTCCATTTACCTGTATGGGTAACCCAGGTCAAGGGAATTTTCATGTACGGGTGTTGAAGGTATGGAGGTTGTATACCACTTGTACAATGTGCATATAACATATACTGCGTTACAAGCGTATAGTGGTGGGATATAAGAATCCATAGCTCCCAAAAACATACCTACTTGGCTTTCTTTCTCTTAGATTTCCAGATTGGACTCCCCCTGGAATCGTTCTTCGCCCTAAAAGATGTCCTTTGGACATCAAGCCCAAAGCAATGTTCATCAAAGAGTTCTGGCCAGGTCCCCAATCCCTCATTCTATCGGAGTATCGGATTGCCACAGGATCTCTGTCAAACATGCTTGCTTCTGGGGAGGTTTTCTCGGGAGGGACATGGGTTTGGCTTGAACTAGAGGACCCCCCCGGAAATGGTCACTTCTGGTTTCCCTTCAAAGCCACCCCAGCAAGGGCGCCCAACAACACCTTTGGCCCCACAGACAAAGACCAGCTCTTTTTTTTCCCATCGAAGGAGCACAGCAAAGGCAACGAGGTGAACTTCTGCCTTTCCTCGTCCAGGTAGTTGGCAGTCCACTCCTTGCTGGCGCACCCCTAAAATCCGCCCGGTTGAAGTTGATTTGGGGAGCGGTGTTGCTTTCTCGTGAAAAAACGTGATATGTTTTAGGAATCGGAGCCCAAATTGGTGGCTGTCCTTTGGATTTCTCTGTAAAAGCACTGCAAAAAAGGGTACCCTCCAAAAATGATACGCTCACATGAAGTCCCAGCTTGTTTTTTTCTAGCTGTACGTCTTGTCTTTCATCTAACGTTTTTCATTGTTTGCAAATTCTCGCACTTCACCCAAAGGGCAAGAGCGCAAACCAGGTTGCTTGCCCAAAGATATAGGATGATAAAGGGGGCAGCCAGATCCAAACCCCAGCAAGTTGTGGTTTGCAAGAGAGCAGCTGCCAGGAATTGATATCCCGAACCTAAGTAGAACTGGCTGATTCTGAGAGATGAAAGTGTCCCCTTGGGCATTCATCACGTAGAAAAACCACACCCCTCAATTAATCGGAACCCCTCCAAAAGTGGTCCGAATCCGAATCCCCACTCAACCAGGGACACCCCCCGATCAAAATCAACCAGGGATTTCTTCATTTGGGGTTGACCGGAAAATCCGAGCTCCAGATTCCCATTTATCAAGGCAAGGAGCTAAAGACATGGCGTTTCAACACTCCAGGAGGTCTCAAGTCTCCTGGATGATAGACCCAGGGGTTGGACCAGACTATACGATTGTCCATGTCATGGTGCCTTTTTGGATTGAATCGGCTGAGCCATGCTCAAAGTCTCGCATTCAAGAAACAGTGCTTTGTGGCCAAAACGTCCGCCCATGCTATTCCCCCCAGCCAATTTGTCAGTTGCGCGTTCACAATGGCCAGCCAGTGAATAATTTGCTCCAAACTTCTACGTTGAATTTGTGGTTACACGAGTTCCCATGTAAATGATGCCCAGCCAAGAGTCCTCAATTCAGCGCAATGATTTCGGGTTGAAAACTTCGACGAAACCCTTTTGGGGTTGGTTTAAAGGGACAATCCAACCGGAACCCACATCTTTGAAGCGTTCCTCATAGTTGCCATCGTAACAAAAAAGGGTCCTACTTAATCCTACTTACTCTGATACCCGATGAAACCAGCAAACAAAATCATGAGGCAACGTAAGGTTGCCGTATGAAGCACATCCACTCGCTTCATTTCCAGGACTCTCGGGGAGCTCAGGCCCGTACCAGCTCCCCCGCAAGCTTCTCAGACTTCTCCTGAGTTCCCAAAGGAAAGCTGCGGGCCGAATGTTGACCCCGGATTACGAAAACAACGGCCAATAAAAATGAAGTTGTTCCCCGCCAAGTGGTCTGACCGTTTACAGATGATAGGGGGCGTGTCCCTGGTTTTAGTAGGGGGTCAGACTCTGACCCCCTACTAAAACCAGGGACACGCCCCCTATCATATGTAAATTTGGTTTATTCACCCTGGGTCAACATTACCTCGGTTTTGCCCCAAACATATAGAAACAACCAAACCTTGGTGCCCTTCGACGAAAAACCACATGTTTAAACCGTGGACTGGCCCCACATGTTGCCAAACAACCTAACAAAGGAAGGTTGCAAGTGGCAAATTGGCAAAGCTTGTTACAAGGTTCACAGAATCGGGGCAAAACCAAAAACCTAGACTTTCAGCCACATGAAAGAATGGTTGACCCAATTTAGATGGTCAAACTCCTCAGATAAATAATGGTGGTTATATTGACCCCCGTTGTTCAATGGCTTGAGACGCAGGGAAAGGTCATACTTACAGTAGGGACTGTCCCCTTCGGACGTCCGATGGCTGGCCAAACCAAATCGGACACTGCAAAGAACACAGCTGGTCTGCGCTTACAGCAAGGCTTAACACCAAAACAGCCCATACAAAAACTGGGCTGCCCTCAGATCCCCCGCTAAAAGTTTAACTTTTAATGGGACAAATGGAACTAAAAGGCTGCAAAGCACAAGGGATGGCTGGGAGCCACCAAGACAAAGCACCCCTCAAAAGCCGAACAATGGTGTCCCATGGTTTCAAAGTGGTGCGAAATGGATTCCACAGTATGGGTGGTCGCCGGATTCCACGACGAGCCGCTTTCAGCTTCTTCAGGTTCTCCTGCTCCTGGCGGATCGACATCTCAATTGGAATCTGTCCCCCGAAAGCTGGAAAAAAATGTACAGGCGCACCTCACACATAGGGGGTCAAGCTCTTGGAATAGGACTAAATAGCCAAAGATAAGGCCAGGTGACCTTCGGGGTACTGTCAAATCATATTTGTTGATCCTGTCTCACATTGTGTGCTCCAGATAGGGCACTCCTAAAGTTGTGGAATTTTCCCTTGAGCTTCCCTAATCCAGCCCAAAATCGGTCCCGAACAACGTCTACCTGGACCCTCAAAATTCCCTGATAAAAATCAGTGGGCAACCCAAACATTATGGTTGGTGAATTCGCTTATGATCTGTTTGAAGGGTCCAAGTGCCCTAAAATCAAAAAATCAAAAACACATCTTTGGAGAGAAGCCCCGGAACCCGGAAGCTGCCGGGAAGCCGCTGAAAGACAATTTGGAACTCGAAAGAACAAACTCAGCCAATCTTTTTGCTCAGATCCGGCAGCTGAACCGGCTGGGGAAAAAAACAGATCTGCAAGTTCTACAATTCCCAAAGCCTGCAACATTGGGATCTCCAACTAAAGGACTTGTCTGATAGTAAGCTCTTTCTACCTTTTCCTCGGAGTGAGCTCGCCAGAGAAATGGCTGTGGTTGTCAAAACCAATGGCATCTCATTTTGGGGTTGCTGAATTCACCACCCATTTTAGTCGGGACTTTAGTGGGTTTGGGGATGTTCACTGAGGGTACGGGCTTTGGCGTTTGACCCATGGCCGCATGTCTTTCGCACTTCGAGGGATCAACGGGCCTTGTCCAGGATCAGCTTCGCCTCCTTCTGCTCGAACAAGGCCTTCTCCCATTTGGTCACCTGCGCAAAAGCGGGTCACTTCGTACACGCGCCGGAAAACCACGAGGCCTATCTTACTTAGATGTTTGAGGTCCTGAGCTTCAAGTGAGGAACATGTGGCGGTGGTTAAGATGCAAACTGCCTGTGCAAAGCGCTCCTCTCTTTGTTGATGGTGAGACAATGCCATGTTTCCAAGCAGTTCAAGGCAAGAAGGCCAACAACATACAAACAAAGACTTGGCTTGGCACCGTTTCTCTTCCGGTGCTTCGGGAGAATGAACTCTTCGCCCTTGAGCGCCCAATGTGTTTGTGTTGCTATTTGTTTGTGTGGGAACAATTTGAGGCCGAAGTCAATGAAACTTGTGCAGTCCCTGCTGAGTGGTGATTCTCTGCGTTCAGCGAAGGACCCCAGAAACCACGCCGCAAACACACCCGGCACCCACATGGCTCGGGGAAAAAAACAAGTCCCGTGTTCAGTGACCTGGAGGTAAGGGGCCATTAGGGCCACAGGAGAAACAAACACCAACGAAACATGTCCGTCCCATCCAAGTTGTTTGTTCCTTGTTCCCCGAACGAGCGGCAGGGCGATTCCAAAAGATTTAGGAGGGCATCCGGTCGAAGACCAGCCACGCCTTGTTCCATGTTGAAACATTTGATTGAAAAGGAACCGCCGAAGAAACATACCACTGAAAACAAAAACGGAAACAATGACTTGAAACTACACGACTTGGCTCCACTCCAGGGTTCTCCCAAAAAAGGAAACGTTATGCTAGTTACCACTATAGTGGCCAACGAGGCAAAACCGTCATGTAAAAACTAAAGGTAAAAATACCTGGTTACCTGCTTTCGTGGCGCGCCTGGAAACACAGTGTCTCATATATGAATCCATTTTGGATTTCTATTGACCAAACAAATCCCCTCACCGGACTCCCCACATTTCGACCCTGCATGGAACCCTCAAGGAAGGCTTGCGGTGCAGCAGCAAATGGGTGTAAGCACAGTTACAGCCGAAGAAGAATATCGAGTCCCGTTCGCGGCCCAGGACAAGTGAAGTTCCCTACATTTGAGCTAAAATGTGTCATTTTTTTATAAACTCTAGTAAAGCACGGCCACTTCCAGGTTCCAAAAGGGGCTTCCTCCCGGAAAGTGGGGTGGTGTCAGCTTCAGTTTCTCCCCACCCTTCGGATCATTGGGCCCAGTGAATCAGTACCCCAAACAGAACTCCCTTGCTTGCCTGCTGAGGCAAACGGCTACGACTTCCGTAGGGAACCTCAAAAGTGGACATAAATCCCCCTTGAAAAGTTGGGGGATGTGAGGTGTTGTTAAAATCCCCAGCGTGCTTGGAGCCAAAGCGCTGCTTGTGACATCTCCTCGCTGAGCTGGCGCTTGCCTTCCTTGGTTGTGCAAGAACGGGTACCCCTTCTTTGATGGCAACAAAGAGAAACCAAGAGGAAAACCACATTTTTCGATCGGGGGGGATCTCACAATGTTCACCTACCAACCACGCGCTAGCCCAAATGCAATGGTACATTGCCAGAAACAAAGCTAAAACAATTGTTCGCCCAAAAACAATCTGGAGAAGATTTTCACTTCTTTTGACTAAACAACGCGATAGAAAAAAAAGCCCGAGAGAAAAACGCCCTGGCTTTCAACCCCTCTCTTTGTTCAGGATGAATGGCCCGGGCACCCATGGCCCGGGCACCCAGGCCTGCATTCTGGACTGGGGGGAACCCCCCCCACAAAAAAGATAACCCTCACATAAAGTGGAGGTAGATGTATCTCCACTTTGAAGGTATATGTGAGTAATCAAAGGGCGTTGAAAAAGAAAACTTCAGAGTGGAGTTACCCACAGATACCCCGCATGCGAAAAGCACAAAGTGGACCTCTGCAATGCGCACGGGTTCGCCACGGACGGGTTCCCCACGGTCTCGCCACAGGTTCACCACGGTCTCGGAAAGTTTCCCAATGGCATGCTCGCGCAGATTGTTTTGGAGGTGCGTTTCGCGTGACAGGCGCAGCGCTTTGGCAACATGAGGTGCAGGTTTCGTGGCAGGCACATTTTGTTCCCACGAGCATCAGAACCCGTGACAGGCGCAGCACTTTCGGAGTGTGAGTCGCGCAGTCTGCGAATCACATGGTTGGTGTCACTCAGAAAAAGTCTCCCTTGGTCTTTGAAAATGCAGAAATGATGAGGTCTCTTCCTATAGGCACGTGCTCCTTCTAGAAACTTCCACCCACCGGCTCCGCCGGCTCTGCTGGTAAGACATAATAATAATGTTTTCACTTTTGGTTTCCCCTTAAACCTAAAAACCCACACCATTTGTTCGTTTTTAGGGCTCCTCGGTTTCGGGTTTATGCCTGCATTTGTCCCTTAAAGAAGTGTAAGATAGCCTTGCGCATCCCATTCTGCATGTGAATGTTCCATATCCTCACAGAGCAGGCTGCGCAGCCAGAAAAGACAAGAGCACCCAACCCATGGGCCGACATCCCTCTCATGTCTATTTTTTGCGCGGCTCTCTTGCTCGCTCAGGGTAATCAAGTTATGCGCTGTCTCACAGTCGTGCGCTGCATGGCACCGGTCGTTCTCTCGCACCGGACAATCCATTCCATCAAGCTGCCCTCCGGAATCCATTCCACATCAGTGCAATTGGACCAGATGTCCTGCGTCTCCTTGTGCCTGAACCTTGCGGTGAAGCCAAGTAGCCCTCATACTTGTTAGTAAGTCAAGGCCGACGTTCTCCGCTTTCGGGGGGTTCTGCGACTTCATGAGGCGCCGCAATGCGAAAAGGGGTACTGACGCAGGGATTGGCGTTCTGAGTGAACCCTGCGATCAAATCGCGGATGGCGCCAGGCAGAGGGCGGCAGAGGGCCCGATAGATGAGCACAGGCCTGGGCGCTGCAGCCACCCTGAGTTCTCTTCTGGACTACTGAAGTCGAACGCTCTTGAAGTTCCCCCCATCAAACACAACAAGGGGGCACGAGCATGATTCCCCCCCTTCGGTGGCCGAGGATCCAATTAAAGAAGCAAAAGGGGTAGGGCTTTCAAGCATGCTGCCCACGCAAAACAACTACTCCCCTTTTTTGCAGTTTTGTCCCAGCAAGATGGTAAAGGGGGTGCGCACGCAGCCTGGCCATTCAAAGCATGTCAGAACCGATCGTTTCCCGTGATTTTTGCCGCGTTCCCGGCTGCAGAGCCCCAATTGCAAGATGCAGTGTGGGTCAACATCCCTAGCATCACCTGCATCACCGGGGCAAGCCCGCAGACTGTCACAAGCCCATCTTTATTCAGGGCCAATGGCCTGGACCTTGGTCCCCTCGAAACTTGCATGGGTTGCAAGCAGACCTGCCTCAACAAGCTGCATGTTTATGAGCGCGTGCGTCAAAGCACGTAGGTCAGGCTCCAAAACACCCGCGCAATTGATTTCGAAGGTTTTGCTTTCATACATCAGACTGGATGCGTAAATTGTTGTGCCGACACGACTGGGGCAACAAAGAGCCAACAATTTCTGATTGAAATTGGGCTCCGCAAATTGCGGCAGGAAGGATCCTTCCACTTGAGCCAGTCTTCATGCTGCACCCCATGTGCTATTGCATCCTTCCGTGATGCAGCACCCAGCTCTTGTCCAGCAACCTGCTCAGCCTGCATGATGCCCTGGATGTAAATCTTACTCATGCGGCTCAATCCACGAATCATCACTCACTGCAGACCCATGCCCCTCATGGAAATTACTTATATGAATGCCATGCTCAGTTTCTCCTGAAATTCCTGCTAAGCCATGCCTCCCTTCATGGCTATCACGCCTCCCTTCACGGATATCATGCTGACCTCCTGCTAAAATGCATGCCAGCCCATGCAAAGCCTCATGGATTTCATGCTCAGTCCCTCCTGGATTGCATGCCAGCTCATGCAAACCCTCATGAGATACATGCAACACTTCTTGGACCAATACTACTTTAGAATTGGCCCAATTCTGAACTAGTATCCGAAAACCAAACTAACAGAGCCCAATACTAAACACATTCTAAATTTTTCCTGACCCTGAAATTCAATCGGGGGGAGCCTTTTCACCAATCAGAGGTGGACATTAACAAAAGACGAGATCGTGCTGTAACCGCGCCGCAAAGTATTGCCAGCAACCGCGCCGACAAACGAGCAGTTACCACACCGCTTTTTGCCCGCAACTACGCGCCAAACATCCTGGTTCCAAAGAACGTGTTGCTTTCGGGCCCTCTCCGACCGAGACGTGCTCGAAATGCTTGCTTTCGGCCCCCAGACCTTGCTTTTGTTGGGTTTGGAAGGAGAATATGAGCAAAAGGAAGAGCAATGAGCAATATGAGCAGAAGGAGAAATATACAAAAGGAAGTAGGAATGAGCAAAAGAAGGAGAATAGAAGGAGAATATACAAAAGGAAGCAGCAATGAGCAAAAGAAGAAGAATAGAAGGATAATATGAAGGTATTTCGTGCGGCGTATTACCGTTCATTTAAGGCGGTGTTACCCTGTTTTTGGCGTGGTTACCTCACCACCTTAACAAAAGACATACCCAAGTAGCAATCGGTCCTCTAAAATGGCTTGGTTCCATTTGGTTTCCCTTTAAAAACCAACCAAAAGAGGATTTGGAGAAACTTCTATGGAGTACCTTTTTTGGGGATAGTCTAAAGGGAGGCCAAGAGGACCGAAGCCATTCTGGTGTCCCTATTTATGACACACACCCATTTCAAAGGGGTGGCTTAAACATGATTAGACTTAGGCCCAGCTGTAAAATGCATATTTTATTGTTTGCTTCACTTTGAGTCACTGGTAAAATGTAAAATGTATCCTAAGTCTCCCCCAGCTAAGGGGAACCCCCGAATCTTCGAGCCAAAACCGATTGGGTGGCTCTATGGTCCTTCTTCGCGCTTGCTGGGGCTCAGGGAACCAGCTTCCGGGTTTTGATGAAATGGAAGGGGTCCAAGGAAACCAACTCGGGGATTTACAGGGGTCCTTCCTGAGAACCAGCAAGAAGGGGAGTCCCTGAAAATCTCGACCAAACAAACCAACAGCTCTCTCTCTAATTCCCGCATGGTCTTTTTTGAGGGTATCTGCCATTTTGCGGTGGAGAAAGGCCAACTCAACCACCCTATTTCAAGACATGCCCATTCTCACCATTCTCAGGTATGGGAGGTATGGAAGATCATTCCAGTGGTATACACCTCCAAAACCCATGCCACAAAATGCACTTGACAATTGTTGCAGTTTGTTCCTCTCTAGTATTTAGAGTCAACCCCCCCTGTCAAACCTGATTTCTAAAGAGCACAACTTCCTGCCTTGAGATGAACCATAAAGAAACCTATTGGTACCTCACTTTCTGAGAGGGTTGGCCAAAAAGCGTCCAAACTTTCTGTTTACCATTGCACTGAAACAGTCTTCCCAAAAGTACAAAGTGCAGGGACTCGGGGAGTGAGGTACTGGATGTGGGACTAGTTTCCCGGGTTCAGGATTTGTCCCAAGTTTCAATCGCGAAATCCCTCCGGAAATGATGAGACAACGGGGGTTGGTTGATGTCAAAAGAAGCCCGAAACCACTATCACAAGGCAAACGACACCCCTGAGAAGCGCGCACAGCACCCTACACAAAAAAACCTGCATCGAAACAGACAAGAAATCCACAAACTGGAGTAGTCTTTGACATTTGACCCGCTCCAAGTTTTTTTCCTTTTTGCTTTTTCTCCGAGTTGGTAGGCAAGCAGTCACGCAACAGGTTGACATGTTAAAGGTCGTACCATCAAGCTACCAAGCAAAAAACAAAAAAACAATGCACAGCCGAGCTTCCTTCTTCAACTCCTCCAACTTCTCGTCAATTCCTCAGATTCCGACTGCAGGAAGGTGTAGCTGATGGGAGCCGAGGGCGAATGACCCTTTTCTGGGCTGTGTCTTAGACGGAAAATTATCGAGCCAACCATGAGGCTCTGTGAGGGTCCCCTAGCTGGGCAGAATCTAAGAAACATTATATATATATATATACATACATGTGCTCAGACCCCCCCATGAACTACTTTTTTTGGGTGACCATATATACATATATACTATATTTATATATGTGTAGAAAAAAACAACTTTTCTCTAAAGGCACAACATTTCGAACTGCAAGAAGTCTCTTTTGCTTATCTGATGCATTTATGTTCATTCTTTGAAGCAAAGCAAGGCGGTATTTCTCTCCTCCAACACGGTATCCCCAATAGCCCTTTTCCTCAGTTGTTCAGTGGCCCTGGAAGAAAAAAACTAGACGACGAGTGGCCCGGAAGCATAGAGGCAAGTTGATGCAGGTGAGGTAACTCTCGCAAAGTTAGCATGAGGAGTTGGCAGGCGAAGCAATTCTCAAAAAGTTGGCATGAGAAGCTGGCAGGTTAAGTAACTCTCGAATAGTTGGCTGGCAAAGTTGGCGGGTGAAGTAATTCTCGCAAAGTTGACATGAGAAGTTGGCAGGCGAAGTAACTCAAGAGAAAAGTTGGCATGAGAAGTTGGCAGGTGAAATAACTCTCAAAGAGTTGGCATGAGAAGTTGGCAGGTGAAGTAACTCTCGAAAAGTTGGCGTGAGAAGCTGGCAGGTGAAGTAATTCTCGAAAAGTTGGCACGAGAAGATGGCGCGTGAAGTAACTCTCGAAAAGTTGGCGTGAGAAGCCGGCAGGTGAAGTAACTTTCGAAAAGTTAGCATGAGAAGTTGGCAGGCGAAGTAATTCTCGAAAAGTTGGCGCGAGAAGTTGGCAGGCGAAGTAACTCTCGAAAAGTTGGCAGGCGATGTTGGCAGGTGAAGTACCTCTCGAAAAGTTGGCATGAGAAGCTGGCAGGTGAAGTAATTTTGCGAAAAGTTGCCACGAGAGGTTGGCAGATAAAGTATTTCTCGAAAAGTTGGCATGAGAAGTTGGCAGGTGAAGTAATTCTCGAAAAGTTGGCAGGTGAAGTTGCCACGAGAGGTTGGCAGGTAAAGTATTTCTCGAAAAGTTGGCATGAGAAGTTGGCAGGTAAAGTAATTCTCGAAAAGTTGGCATGAGAAGCTCGCAGGTGTAGTAACTCTCGAAAAGTTGGCATGATAAGCTCGCAGGTGAAGTAACTCCTCGAAAAGTTGGCACGAGAAGTTGGCAGGTGAAGTAACTCTCGAAAAGGTGGCATGAGAAGCTGGCAGGTGAAGTAATTCTCGAAGTTTCGGCATGAGAAACTGGCAGGTGAAGTAATTAACCCTCAAAAAGCTGGAGCGGCGGAGGCGCTCCGCGTGCTACATTTGCAATTTACAGTTGCGATTTTCCAGCCATTTGTATCTAAAAGTTGCGATTTTCCAGCCGGAGCTGCGGGAGCACGCTCCGCGTACTACGTCTGTACTTAAAAAGTGCGATTTTCCAGCCGGAGCTGCAGCAGCCTCCGCGTACTACGTCTGTACTTAAAAGTTGCGATTTTCCAGCCGGAGCTGCAGGAGCACGCTCCGCGTACTACGTTTGTACTTAAAAGCTGCGATTTTCAAGCCGGAGCTGCCGCGGACCAGGGGGGAATCGAACCCGGGACCGCGGGATTGCGAAAGCAGGCGCGCACACCACGAGACAACTTCCAAAAGCCGTTTCGCGAGCAAGAAAATCGCACGGCGCCACAGCGAGAGCGCTTCGACACGCACGATCTCCGCAGAGGGTTCATCGGGCTCAAGACAAATTCGCACGGCGCCACAGCGAGAGCGCTTCGACACGCAGGATCTCCGCAGAGGGTTCGCCAAGGTCAAGACAAATTCGCACGGCGCCACAGCGAGAGCGCTTCGACACGCACGATCTCCGCAGAGGGTTCGCCAAGGTCAAGACAAATTCGCACGGCGCCACAGCGAGAGCGCTTCGACACGCACGATCTCCGCAGAGGGTTCGCCAAGGTCAAGACAAATTCGCACGGCGCCACAGCGAGAGCGCTTCGACACGCACGATCTCCGCAGAGGGTTCGCCAAGGTCAAGACAAATTCGCACGGCGCCACAGCGAGAGCGCTTCGACACGCACGATCTCCGCAGAGGGTTCGCCGGTCAAGACAAATTCGCACGGCGCCACAGCGAGAGCGCTTCGACACGCACGATCTCCGCAGAGGGTTCAGGTCAAGACAAATTCGCACGGCGCCACAGCGAGAGCGCTTCGACACGCACGATCTCCGCAGAGGGTTCGCCGCGCTCAAGACAAATTCGCACGGCGCCACAGCGAGAGCGCTTCGACACGCACGATCTCCGCAGAGGGTTCGCCAAGGTCAAGACAAATTCGCACGGCGCCACAGCGAGAGCGCTTCGACACGCACGATCTCCGCAGAGGGTTCGGGCTCAAGACAAATTCGCACGGCGCCACAGCGAGAGCGCTTCGACACGCACGATCTCCGCAGAGGGGTGCGTTTCGTAAGCTCCCGTCGGGCCTACCCCCGCCATAAAAAGAAGAAGAATTAAGAGTCGAGAAGTGAAGGTAGAACAGAAAAGTTAGCTTGTGTTTTTAGGATAGTGAAGTAACACCCGACAAATTAGCTTGTGCTTTAGGTAGAACAGAAAAGTTAGCTTGTGTTTTTAGGATAGTGAAGTAACACCCGACAAATTAGCTTGTGCTTTTAGTAGAATGAGATAACAGCCGAAAAGTTGACATGAGAAGTAGGCAGGTGAAGTAACTCTCGACAAGTTGGCATGAGAAGTTGGCAGGTGAAGTAACTCTCAAAAAGTTGACATGAGAAGTAGGCAGGTGAAGTAACTCTCGACAAGTTGGCATGAGAAGTTGGCAGGTGAAGTAACTCTCGACAAGTTGGCATGAGAAGTTGGCAGGTGAAGTAACTCTCGACAAGTTGGCATGAGAAGTTGGCAGGTGAAGTTGGCAGCCGCTTTTAGAAGAAGAACCCTTCGCAATGCTTCCGGGAAAAAAGGGAACCCTTTTTTGGGAAGACCGTTTTAGTGGGGCAGCCACCAAAAAAAACGGGAAAAGGGTGCCACTGAGCAACTGTGTTTCCGGAACTCTGGCCCACAGGCACTCTAAAAAATCCAGCCTGGCCAGGCAAAGACTCCAAAGACTCCAAAGCTGCCAGCTGAAGATTCTTGGCTTGATTGCCGCGAGATGGCTGTGGTGGTCAAAAATAGGGTAACCCCAAAATGGCTTGCCAAGCAAAGAATCAAAGTCTTTCGATGACACCGGGACGAATTCAGAAGAGTTACTGCCAATATTACCACCAAAAGACCTATCGGAGTCAACCTTCAAAACCCAGGCGAATCCGAAAACCGATACCCATCAAGCGATTGATTAGGGCCTACCTCAGAAAAACAGCTGTTTACATTCTCCGTTGTTCAGATTGAGTGTTCCCCACTCTTGCCATGGCAACCCCCCCAAGACTCCCCCGACTGCGTTGCTCGAAGCCACGAAAAACGACCCAAACAACCTCCTGCTCCTCGATGGCCTCGTATCTGAGGCCCGGGCGCTTCAAGTACTTCTTGGGCCGCTTCCGGTTCATGCGCACGCTGGGGTGCCAGTTCTTCTTGGTGTGCTTGTTGTGATACATCCCTCACCGAAAAGCGCGCGATTGTGGGCGATTTGGGCGAGTTTGCGCGAGTTTTTGGCGCCTTTCTGGAACTGAAAAAGGGCAGCAAGGCAAGATCAAATCGGCGACACTGGAAAGCTAGGCCCTCGTTTGTGTCAAAATGGAGGGGGACCAGCCAAAATCGCGGTGTTCCTTCCTTTGACTTCTTTTCGAACCAACCTGCAAACGGGTCCCTCCAAACAAACGCACGCACACAAAACCACCCTTTAGAAGTTCGCAGCAACCCTGAGAAATGTTCTATGGTGAATGAGTTCCCCATGTGGGTCTCCTGCTGCTGAATCGGAAGCGTCTTTCGAGGACCCCACAGCAACATGTTCACCCATGCTGCACTTTAGACACCGCCCATTCTCCAGGCCCAGTGGATCCAAAAAAGAAAGACCAAAGGAATCATCTTTGTCCAAAAGGAAAATGACTGGTTACCAATTGTAGTCGAGTGGCTTGCCTGGTATCCGCTGGCAGAAAATTGGCCCATTCTTGGAAGAGGATCAGAATCTTTGGTTCGATGCTGCGGAGGAAAGGGCACCACCTAAGAAAGCCTGGAATGTGGTGTTTGCCTGTAAATACCAAACCATATGGTTTCAACCATCTAGGTCCTCCAGTAGAGAGGTTGGAGTAAGGGTACCCTTTTTTCAGTAGTCTATTTTAGTAGGGGAGCCCTCCCCAAAAAAGGGCAAAAGGGCACTACTGGGGGACCTAGCCATGGTTCATTCCGTGGTGTGAACAAAAGATGCCCGCCACCAAAGCCTCAGGTTCATCTCACAGCCCAGTTTGGACCTGGAAATAGAAGCTGAACCTGTTGAAAGGGGGAACCTGCAACCTCAAACTACCCTTTTTCTCATGGGACTTCACCTCATAATTTTCGGCCAATATCACATGTTCAAGGGTGTTTTGAGGGCCCAGGTTCACCCCAGAATGGGACAACCAAAGGTCATGTCGGGTCGATCTGAATTGAAGAATCAGGGTGGTTTCCCATTTACCCTTTACAGGCAATAGGTTGTTCAAATCCCCTAACTACCAAACTAAGGGCTCACTTAAGTGGATTGGCCAAAAAAGGTCCAAGCTTTTTGTTTTCCACCCTAAGGGTCATGACTCGACCCCTCCAATGCAGAACCCTCTGAGCCTCCAAGTTTTCGAACCCCGAGCAATTCCTGGGTTGAACCCTCAACAACCCATTTGGGCCCAAAAAGCGGGACCCGTAGGGCACTAAAACAGGGATCCTGACATGAAATACACCTGAACATTGCAACTTGTAAATGGTGGTTTCCAACTTCATTTTGGTGTTGAAAAAGCCTCCCATGTTTCACATGGTTGCAAGCAAAATGGAGATGTTTTTCTGGAGCCCTGTAAAATAGCCGAGGCTCCCAAAAACCAAAGCTTCAAGTCCAGGAGCTCCGAAAAAGGCGTTCCGCTTCGGCCGGGACGCCGACGAGCCGACCGACGAGCCGACCCTCGAGTTCCGGAATTTCCGCGCCTCCTATGCTGACCTCTGGTGCTCCCCAGCGCGCCTGAGCGAATCGAAATCCCGAACCTCGAGAGCAGGGCTGGGAATGGAATCCACGAGTCTGTACAACAGAAAGGGCGGAACCCCAAAGACGATCTTAATCATATAAAAGGGAACTCACAGAAGATACTCCCACAAAAAAGGGCGGAACCCCAAAGACTTCATTTTCTTCATAAGGGGGATTCCCTTTTAGGTATCACGTCCAGTGGTGGCAGAAAGAAACCCCGAAGTGATCAACCACCACCCGAACCTCGAGAGGCTTTCTTTCTTCTCTCAGGCCTCGTGCCCCAAAAGAGAGCGGTTTTCGGGTGATTTCCCCTAAGGCTCCAGTGGTCGACCCGAAGAAATACATTCGCGTGGGTAAAGCGGGTATGAAGGGGAGCTAAGAACCTGAAGTCTTTGGCCCGTAAGTGGAGGTTTTTGCCCTACGAATCTAGTTGTTCATGACTCCCCATGGTCTTTTTAATGGCCACTTGACAGGAAACTCAGTTGAAGGGGGTGATCCAATCGCTACTTCTGCAATGCGTCACGCGGAAAAACATCCCCAGCTGGCCCTCTAGCCCTTGTGGATCTGGGTTTCCAAAACCTGAAACCGGGATGAAACCACCTGAGCTTAGAATGGGACTTTCAACTGAAAAGGAACACCCAAAACACATAGCAAAGGGATCTCCAGGAATAAGATCCTGCAACCTGTCCAGAGCGACCCGCCGGATGTCTTCGTCCGGCCTCTCTTTGCGAGAAGACTTCAAAGCTATCTTAATATGCGGAAATAGCTCAACGCAGGAAAGACTTTCAACTTGGCGCGAGACCATCTCCATGTGCATGAGAACATGGAAGGAGACCAAAGGCAAATGCGGAATGTGTACAACTTTGCTACCTAAATGGCACAACATGGCTACAAACCACATGCATTGCGAGCATTGCTCTCACCCAAAATCACAACCAAAATGATGAACAATGGCTACACACACCCAAAAATGCGAGCATTGGTTCAATCTTAAATCGCAACCAACATGTCACAACATGGCTACAAGCAACATAACATGTCTACCAGGAGCCTCAAAAACCGATGAACATGTCATACCTACAAAAAACACGATGTTTTTTGGGAAAACACGATGTTTTCGGGAAACACCGCATTTTCGATTTCAAGCAGTTTCCCATACATTCCTTCAACTCGTCATCCGTTCTCAAAAGATCTCAAAAGCATCATCTCAACCTCAGAATCTCCCATCGCCCTCCCCTTTTGCACTCGTAACGAAATCAGCTTCGCATTCGCCACTCGTCTTTCGCAACTCCAATCTGAAAGAAGGAGGCCGGGGACCCAAATAGTCAAAAGTACCACGGTTTTATGACACTTGTCAAGCAGCAATGCCATGATGAGGGCGTGCTGGCTTCGAACAGCGCGCAAGCTCAAGCAAAGACCGTGCTTCTGCTCACGACTTCGTTGTTTTCCAGCAACATTCTCGAATTAGCGCATTCGTGGTTGAACCCGAAAAACCCATAGAATTTCCACGCTTTGCCACGCTTTACTACGGGTTCTCCACGGTTTAGCTACGGGTTAGAAAAGAGAGGGGGTCGTAACCACGACAAAAACGCGATTTTGTTACCATGACAAGGTGCAATGTTACCACGGCAGAAAAAAAGCGTTACAGCGACATGTTTCTTGCGGGCTTATCCCGACAAGCAGGGAAATAGAAAGGAATAAGAAGGCATGAGAAGGTCAATAAGAAGGAATAAGAAGGAATAAGAAGGTCAATAGAAAGGAATAAGAAGGAATAAGAATGTGAATAGAAAGGAATAAGAAGGAATAAGAAGGTGAATAGAAAGGAATAAGAAGGAATAAGAAGGTCAATAGAACGGAATAAGAAGGAACAAGAAGGTCAATAGAAAGGAATAAGAAGGAATAAGAAGGTCAATAGAAAGGAATAAGAAGGTCAGTAGAAAGGAATAAGAAGGAATAAGAAGGTGAATAGAAAGGAATAAAAAGGAATAAGAAAGTCAATAGAAAGGAATAAGAAGGAATAAGAAGATGATTAGAAAGGAATAAGAAGGAATAAGAAGGTCAATAGAAAGGAATAAGAAGGTCAGTAGAAAGGAATAAGAAGGAATAAGAAGGTGAATAGAAAGGAATAAGAAGGAATAAGAAGGTCAATAGAAAGGAATAAGAAGGAATAAGAAGATGATTAGAAAGGAATAAGAAGGAATAAGAATGTCAATAGAAAGGAATAAGAAGGTGAATAAAAAAAGAATAAGAAGGAATAAGAAGGTCAATAAGAAGGAATAAGAAGGAATAAGAAGGTGAATAGAAAGGAATAAGAAGGAATAAGAAGGTCAATAGAAAGGAATAAGAAGGAAT